CGGACAAAAACTTGCTATTATTTAGCATAGATTAGGTGGATTTTTTGAATCTAATATTTTGTTTGTGCCTTAGATGGATTTATTACACCAAACCACTGGTTGAATATAGCAGGTTTTAGAAACTACACAAACCTTTTGTAAAGTGAGTGTGGAATTGTAAGAAAATTGTGAGTTCCACGCACACTTCTCACTTTTGTGCATAAAGGTGCTATGACAGCCGTTGATGATCAGGAGAGATGGCACGAAAAGGAGGTATCTGATGTCATGATTACATATCGGATGGTGGAGGATGCCCCTTTCTATTTCGTCTATCAGAAGCTAGACAAATGGTAAAGCTGGAAACGTGGAAATACTTGACTTTGGGTTTGGATTTCTTAACTTTGGTTTTATTTTCGGTAACCACAGTTAGAAAGAGAAGGAGAAAGATTTGAACGCAACCAGTCGGATGTAGGATTAACTATTTAAAGAGGATTTACATTTGAATCTTGATTTATCATAACAAAACAGAAAACGAATTTACATTTGAATTCGATTTCCCCAATTGATCGAGCAAATAACTTGGGAAATTATGGACTTATATACCATATGACTTGATGATATACCAATATCAAATATAGCCAAATTATAGCACAATATGTTATTCAACCGTTATACATGAAATGATGAATACATATGTTATAATGAAATATGATATTGTCTGGAGTGTTTCAACCGTTATACTTATATTATACAATGCATCAATGGTTGAAAGTCATCTATTCGAGCACAATACTCGTGTTATGATTGGCTCAATTCGAGATACCTACATCAACCATGTCACACTACGTATAAAATACACTCAATCATTTTGTTCGTAATTTGAGAGTGGGCGGAGAATACGGCGTACACTGGAGTGGGAGCCAACATGTCACGTGCAGGACCACGCGAGTGGGACAAGCTCTTCAATTGCGGCGCCAGACTTAGTCTAGAATTTCTCAACCTTGCCATTATTTAGCCTAGATTAGGTGGATTTTTTGAATCTAATATTTTGTTTGTGCCTTTGATGGATTTATTACACCAAACCACTGGTTGAATATAGCAGGTTTTAGAAACTGCACAAAACCTTTTGTAAAGTGAGTGTGGAATTGTAAGAAAATTGTGAGTTCCACGCACACTTCTCACTTTTGTAAACGGTGATGAACGTATTACACCCACTTTATAAAAAGAGCATCTCGAATTTATTAGGTCAAGTTTCGAAAATCTTTACAACTACTTTAGAAGAGTACCTTAAAGATGATTAACCAAAAAGCAAAATATGCACCTGCGTTAATTAACATGTCCAAATCTTTTGACTAGATTTCCAAAACAAGCTGCCTAGCATTAGAATGAAATTTAAGGTTACAATTTGGCCACCTGAGCAGAGCCACAAGCATGCAAAGAAAAGAATTTGGATCACAAAAGTCTCAAAAAGGAGTACAAATTAGTGCAACCACCTCCTTTTGCCACGAGTAACAAACAAGTCAAAGTGATTAAGGCTTCTCCTTGGAATTTCATGTACAATGTCTAATATGTTTCCCCATCAAGGGTGGCAAGTAATGGAGAAGGTAGGCCATTGATGGTTGATAATTAATTCTTGAAGAATGCTATACACGTAGTGTTACATACGCGGATGAACTATTCAAAACGTTGATACATTATGAATTTCACAAACACCGACGGCTAAAATAAATTCATGCGTACGTGACTGACCTTAATGTTGTTCTTTAGTTCTTTGTAACTGGAAGTCTAGAAGAAGGGGCCATAGCAGGGAGGCCCAGGCCATTGAATTTGAATTGTTTTGCGACTAAGCAAAGCAAAGTAATAGTTGTCGTTGTCATTTTCAAAAGGTGCGTTTCATGTCATTATAGCCAAAGATATTTCAATGGATTCGGTGGGTGTCCTCAACTTCAACTTTTCCACGACACTGCTCATGACTCTTGATCTTGACTGTTTATAATTTCTTCAAGCCTCTTCTTCTTATTTGCTGATACATATGCTTTTTCTCCATTGTCAATTGCCTGAGCCTCAGGTACAAAAACAGTACCAAGTTTGATTTGAATTTGAATAGGACCAAACAAACCCTAGTGAGAGCATGATGAAGACTTATGATGCCCAACCTATCAAAAGTAATGCTAAAACAATGAAAAGTTTTTAGGGCCTCGGTTGGAATGTTGCATAAAAGCGAGCAGATGGAATTCCCAAAGTCTTCTGTATTTTCTTTCTGTTCAATCTTTCCAATTTCTTTTGTTTTTATTCGATTTCTTTTTTCTCCCTTTTCAAACTATGTTGGTCATTCAGGAAGAAAATAATTACTAGCTTATTAATTTTATTCACCAAATGACGTGTAAGTATGCGTACCTATTGATATTTGATATTCTAGAAATTCATAAGGTTTGGAATGAGTTCATCTTCGAACAAATCAAATGCTACTATTACATTACTCAAGGAACAAAATTATTGAACGAATTCAGTGACTTGAAGATACATAGTTTGATGATGAACATGTGTGTTCATCTTAAAAATTGAGTAATGCTATATTTACACTTCGATAGTTCCAATTTTACACTCTTGTGAAAGAGGGAATGATAATGTTATTTGCAATTCTTCACAAAAATACAACTAGAGAGTGTACCGCAACTAAATTCTCACTTCTTGTATACTTCTTTTTTCTCTTAGAATCCTACTTTATTTCGTAACCTAAATTCTTTTGTTACGAATTGGCACTTGGTAGGGTCAATTTTCAATGCCTATAAGTAAACCTAACAGAGTTGTTTGGAAATATCTCTAAGATTTTCGAAATGAGATTGGATGGATCATACTCCTTTAGCATCTTCAGAGGAAGAGGCAAAAGAGTACTCAAACTTCATTTGTCTTGCCACATTAGCATTTTCATGCTCTAAGGGAAGAGTCAAATGGGTAGGCAAAATATACCTACTATTTCCAACAAGGCAATATTGCCTACTTCAAAGTAAAGATGTATATTGGACCCCACTTACTTTTTATGATAAAATATCATATCCACTCTCTCACCTACTTTCTATAAAATATAATAGTAAATGTAAAAGATACAAATAAATAATATAATAGTGGTTTGTAGACTTGCATTGCCTTGTCTCTTAGAGTGAGTGACCAACTCTTTTCATGAGGCAAATGGGTAGGCAACATGCCACCTAGGTTGTTATGATACAATTTTGCGTATTTTATCTGTATACTCCTTAGAGATTCTTATGAGGATATTATTTTTATCCCTTTTTATAATATTGTGGATAGGGGATTCGTCTTTGTGGTTTTATGTTTATTAAGCACTCATTATTCATCAACTTTTAATGTATAGATAAAAACCCCACTAACACATTTTTTAATATTAAAATTCGACTTTTGTTTTTTTAATAACGAAAGTGAAAGGAGATGAGAACGAAAGAGAAGAATACATGAACTTTTTAAATTTATTTATTTTGTGTGTGTGTAAGAGTAGATAATATGAAAACCAGTGTTTGTCTTAGCTAAGCCTGGGGACAGCCAAACAGAGTCCAATTTATAAGTATTTGGGCTAGACTCTTGGCCCAACTTAAACAAAAACCCACTTACCTCTATTATTAGTATGTGCCTCTCATTTTTTTCCGTTTTCTTTTCTGGGCACAATCGCTCCCTTCTCCGGCTGAAAGTGTTAACATTGATTTAAAAACAGAGCCAAAAAAGAAAAGGGAATTCACACACACATATGTCACGTTTACTTACAAACAATGAGAATGAGAAGAAAGTGAATGATTTCCATTCATGACTTCCCAGCATTTACTTACACATAAACAATCATTAAATACGTGAATCCTACCTAAAAATCCTTAATCAAATACCCCAACGACTCGATTTCTTTGCAAAGCTTTTTATCATAACTCAAAGGGAGGTTTTACCCATGCCAACTAAGACAGGCAACAGTGCCTCCATCTTCTAGATTTCATCTACCATATTCATTCAACACTTGACTGCATTTTAATTTTCTATATTGACCAAAATCTGCATCCTCAGCTCCTCCATTTAATATTATCTTAGAAATGTTTGACAGTTTTCTGTTGCACCAACCGCTCTAAATCCAACTACCTTCAAGTTCAATTCTAACTTTCAAACCTACCGAATACAAAATGAATTTCTATATATATTAAATGAGGGGAGCTTTGAATGGAAACTGCCTACGATATCTATAATGAGCGGCACGCAATTGCACCCAGAACATTCTTAGATCCTTTTCATGACAGTTTCAAATCAAATTAAGGAAACCAGTCAATGGACCTATATTTGGTGGTAGTGGAGATACCTGTGATGTTATTTCGATTTAATCACTTGCGATGTGTTTTAATTTTCGGATATGATAATACAACTTTCCAACATGGCAATGCATGATACAACTTTCTAACATGGCAATGCGTGATACTGCCACGATGGCATCCCCGTTACATGTAAGTTAAGAAGCAATCAATGAATTCTTGTACATGAAATGGTTTTTTTACAGAAGCAAAAGAAAAATGCTGGAGTAAGATTGAAAATTTTCTATTACACATTTTTACAATCTTTAGTTTGGCTACAAAATAGGACTGAAACCAACAATACATGACAATAGCAAAAGATAAATGGTTCAAGAATTTTAAAAGAACAAAATATTGAATAAACCATATCTGTTTTCAATATACACATTGACCAGAATGACCTTTACAAGACCAGAAGTTCTCCATTTCTGTTTACTCTAAAAATACTTCACAGAAATAGGCACCCAAACGACAATTAAGAGAGCAAAATGCCAATAACATGTTTCCCCCCCCCCCCCCCCCCCCCAAAAAAAAACTGTGGATCTATTTTACTATTATAATTACGGAAGGACCCTTGAGTTCAAAGTCCCCAATAGTATTTGCAAACACTGTTAGTTAAGAAAACCTCAGCTGAAAATACACCACCATCTTCACATGGGTGCTGGACTTGGAGACACTCCACTAGAACACTGCTTCTAGATATTGGTTGTGATGCCTCTTGTTGAACTCTAATACGCTACCATATGTGCGATCGGCGATCCCAACAAACAGAGCTTCAGTGTCGGGGCTAAAGGATATTCCGGCAATCTCACCAAACAGATCGATCTCTTGTCCCTTGATATACCCGGACTGGGTATCCATGATGTGAACAAAGTCTGCTGGCTCAGCCATGGCCATGAACCGGCCATCAGAGCTGAACTTTATGGCTCTTATTGCTCCCATCCTTCCCTTCAACACAGTGAGGGACTCTGAGAGGTTTCTTATGTCCCATAACCTGCAAGTAGTGTCTTGATTCCCAGTAGCCAAAATTTGTCCGTTCGGGTGCCACGCAGAGGAAAAGGAATAGTCTAAGTGTCCTTTAAGGTTTCCAATGGCCTATCTCGAGTAGGTAATAGATCAGAACACTTCATGTGGTTTGGATAAAACAAAATAAATCGGCAGCAAAAAAATAATGCCACTTACTTTTCCAGACTGGGCATCAGCAATCAAGCAATCTGCACTATCACCAAGAACTGCAACCAGCTTACCATCTGGACTAACAGATGTGTTCTGCCAAGAACCATTAACGAAATAAGCAAACATGAGGAATATAGAAAAGACAGATTGGCACCATAAATAACGGTTTTTGTAGAGGGTACTTACATTTACAGACCAATCAAAGGAGAACTGATTTAGGCAAGCAAAATTTTGGACATCAAAAACTCTAACTTGGGCATCGTTGTTTGCAGCCATTACCCTCATTGACCCACTACACAGAGAAAGTTCATTTATACTCCTTCCAAGTCAAACAACCTATATTGTTTATGGCAGAGAACTTACGTAGGGCTTCGGAAAATGTCCACTGCATTTGTGATGGCATTGTCATCTGTTGTTACTTTTGAGCAGAAAGCAACTCCAGGTTGATTGATGTGCTGCCCAACATAAAAGAAAAATATCAACATTGGGAGAAAAGTGCTACGACAGATTCAGTACACAAACGAGCATTTTATTTGAACATTTCGATATACATTTATTTGAACATTTCTATACCTTGCAGATGAGCTCGCCTTGGAAGCCCCCAACAACCAATAAATTTTCCTTAACAGCCATAGTGCTTATCTGCACTCTAGAGAGTGGCTGAGCCAACAACCCAGGTCGTTTCTGAAAGAAAATACCAACTTAAATCAGATATTTAGTCCAGATTTCAGCAATGAAACCTGAATAAAAAAACCAAATGTTTCATACCTCAGTAGGCACAATTGGTTTTGATACATTGAGTACTTCTTTCCCTCTCCTGAGCAAAGAGGACCAGTGCATTACTGAAAAGTTCTGCATAAGGTATACATCGTGCTTTGATGTGGCCCATAACAAATTCCTCAGCTGCACAAGGAGAAAGAAACCAAGTAGACGGACATCTTAGTAACAACATTCAGCTATTCAAGAAAGCAAATAAGAATATTAAAACAACCCCATGTCCGTGTATGCCAGATGACAAATATGAACTAACGGGAAAAAAAGCTGTAGAAGTTATATAAGACAAGTGTCGGAGGCATCAGCTAATTACAAAGTACTTTCCTATTTTGTCTTCTCCCTAGAGTGTCTTTCAGAGATTAAGCTTTATTTTATTCCTGGATTATAATTGTGCTATAAGCTTTAACATTGTGTACAATTCTTTTCTACTCAAAATCTTGTTGCAACCGAGTACCTAATGAACTACTGAAGCCAAAGTATATAAGCCATTTTGTCTGAGTTGATACATAGGTACCCATAAAAACTAAAATCACTAATGTAGTACTTATAGGTCAGTGGCCAGTATATAAAAACCATGCATCATTTAGCCTTTACTTTTCATAGACCGGAAGAACCCCAAACCCCATGGAAAAAAAAAACCAAAATTAAATATTTATCTCACTCCAGGCCGGTATAAGTTTTTGTAAGTTGGAAGACAAAGTTAACTCTAAGGCCCTGAAGTGATGGGTAGAGACATGGAGACATCCCATGCATATGCAAACTCTAAGGCCCTGAAGTGATGGGTAGTGACATGGAGACATCCCATGCATATGCACTTCTCCAGGTATGAGACAAAGGCATTTGAACAAATTTCCACTTAGGCAAGACTACAAACAGGTCACTGGGCAAATAAATTTGGGGATTAATATGACAACCACATCAGCCAAGGCAAGTGCATCCAACCATTAAGAAAGTACATGTAAATGAAACACAATGATCACTCTTTGACCCTCACAGTGAAAGAAAAAACCAACAAAATATGGCAGAACAAATTATTATGACCAATCCAATGACATTTTTAATCACAAAGAGACAGACAGTATATATACTTGAAAAGTAGCAATGCAAATCACCATAACAAAATATACCAGCAGATAGTATGTAACCACATCAACATAAACTTTGGATGACAATAAACAAATGTCAAAGAAATGCAAATGTGATGACCCTGTATGATAAATGTCAAATTAAAGCAAACGTGAAGGCCCTGTATGTCTCTAACAACTCTAGAGAGAATTAAAAGTCTAAGAGAGCAAGGACTGTGTAAATCGGGCCCCGTAGGATCAGAAGTACTGCCACTACTTGCTACAGTGGCCTCTTAAATGCTCAGATATTTTCCTATCATACCATATAAACAACGTCGCGCCAGCAGCTCTAAGTTCCACCCTGCTTTAAAAGCTGAAATAAAAGAGAGCAATAGCAGGCCTAAATGCAAGAGATGGGTTAAAGTGAAATATTATTGTCAGCAGTCAACAGAAGCAATATATTTACCACCACAAATAAAAAATACAAGGATAACTAACTAACATTCAAAAATAACAATGACTATGCAATATGCAAAACAAATGGCATGAAAATCAAGGCACAAAATGCACATGAACCAGTTACAAAAATATTTGAATTGTATGAGTAACCACTGTTAACTATGTAAGATAAAAAAAGCGAGGGGATTGAATTCATCTTAAGTTTGAACATCAACCATAAAATGCAGTGCAGGTGACGGGTGCTCAACTGTTCGCAACTAATCTTACACAAGTATACCTTAGTTAAGGGTTAGTTGTTGATAGAACTGACATTTTAGCTCCTATATCACCAAAAAGGTAAAACAGCTAACATACATCTTACTTTCAATTATAGTGGCTGCATAATGAGAAAATCTTTGACATCAGTAATGCAGAATACACAGCAGTGTGTACATGTGCACAGGTGTGTGTGTGTGTGTCTAGACATGCTTCATTATTTTGAAAAAGAAGGTTCATATCACTAGACGATATATCAGCATTAACACCAGGTCCCGAATCTCAGAGATACCAAATCGTACCATAGCCATTACGCATTCATACCCCCAAAATAGGCATTAAAGCATCTCTTTGTGGAAAGGAGCAACTGACAAAATATTCAATAATGTACCTTTGAATCATGACAATTTAATTAATAAAAAATTTATACAAGCAGATCAAAGTATATAGAAAGTAGCCTTTATATGTCTGCTAAAAGGGATCTACTGAATACAAACCAGTTTGATGCCATTAGTTGCGGCATTTAGCAGTTCAAAAACATTTTTGTTCTTAGGCCAGTGCACAGAATATATTGATCTGACACGCATCTGAAATTAATCCTTCCATAAAAGGTGCAATTAATTTTCTGAAAGGATCAACTGCAGAAAAATGCCCTCAGAACAAGGTTATCCTTATTACAAACTAGTATATTATAGGGGAAAAAAAGTAGACCAAGAAGGGGTGACCTAAATTATATAAAACTGATTTTGTCGAAATTGATTCTGTTTTTATTTAAGTTAAACAGCAATAAACTATCTTGACAATAAGATGTTCGCCTGTTGCCTACAGTTTAAGCAGAACCTTAGTTTAGGTTCATGAAGTACGCCAATTACATCTGAGATGATACAAGATCTAACATAGGGCCCAACAAAGACAGAACCATTATGAACTCCATACCTTCCAGTGAAGGGTTGAGGCACAGAACCATAATCACAAATTAAGATATCCATCATAAAGGATAAAACATTTTTACAAGACCTGCAAAACTACCAAACTAATAATATGCATATAACTACATTAAAAAACAGCTATAAATGGAATCTTATATCCAGCAGCAAGGCACAAAATTCAAAAGGATATAAACTTTATACACACAGCATGCCTTCAATAAGTGACAAAAATAGCTAGGATATTATGATGAGCAATGCCCTTGAATAATCAAATGAATGCATGCAAATATGAATATCAATAGTAGTTTTAAGAACTTGATGTATCCAAATGATTGCTAAATGAATATGAAGATGAAAAATATGCAAATGTTGCACCATTACACATGGATGAAGTTTTGAAAAAATAAAAACATGGAAGTGAAGGTTTATATGAACTCCACATCAAAATATTCCTATGTCTTATAAAGTCACAAACCAAATATCTTTGAAAACATTTCAAATAGTATATAGAAGAAAGCACAAAATCTCTACCTGGAAATGGACAATTGTAGACTTGACAATCCTTGTATTGTAGTGAAAGTCATAGAAGGTCTTCCCCATCTCTACTTGCAAGCACTCCTGTCAACATAGTATGTTCAGCAACGAGAAGATTCACAAAACTTACAACAAAAACAAAATCTAGCCGCTATAATGGGTAAAATAATTTCGCTTCACAAAGGACCAACATCAAAACATATGTAAAGATCAAGCCTTGAAGACCAACAAGGCATTTCTAAACCCGAAAAATACAGAACACAGAAGCAGAGGCCACAAAAAAGAGTGAAGGGTACAAAGTAGAAACCTTTTCGAGGTCTTGACGAGGGCGAGAGAGGCTCTCGTAGTTCTTGTACTGCTTCAATCGTGTCTCACGATACTTATCTCTGGTGAAGTTAAGCCTCTCCCATGGAATTCCCTGTATGTCTTTCCCATTTCTAGCTTCCATAGCTGAAGTATCAGTCTTCACCTTGCTCTGCTGCAAATTCACCAAATATCACTCCTTTGGTTGTTCAAATTGTGTAGAATTACCAAATTCAACAGGCAAAAAAACAGAGCTCAGTTACCTCATCAAAGTCGTCCTCAAAGTCTGAGTCGGCATCTTGGCTCCTACGGAGCTGGTTCTCAGCAAAAGCGTCGTTGTCTTCGAACTCAGCGACGTCGAAGTAGTCATCGACGACATACTCCAGCTCGTCGTTCTGAAACTGCGCCATCAACCTTCACACAACACACAGAACCCAGAACCTCACACCATTAATCTTTCAGCTTTTAATTTCTCGATTTCAAATTGAACTTTCAGAATTACAAATTAAAACACCAATCCGATAACCAATGAACAATGGCTGTGTATATAGCTCAATTTATACAGCACGAAGCTAAAAAATGAAAACAAAACCGAAGTAAATACCTTGAATTGGGGGAGAAATCAGTTGGACTGGTGAGAAAAAACAGTGTGTATAGAGTTTTCCCGAGAAACAAACAGAAAAATTAAGCGTTTTTGTTGGCTAATAATATGCATATAACTACATTAAAAAACAGCTATAAAGGGAATCTTATATCCAGCAGCAAGGCACAAAATTCAAAAGGATATAAACTGTATACACACAGCATGCCTTCAATAAGTGACAAAAATAGCTAGGATATTATGATGAGCAATGCCCTTGAATAATCGAATGAATGCATGCAAATATGAATATCAATAGTAGTTTTAAGAACTTGATGTATCCAAATGATTGCTAAATGAATATGAAGATAAAAAATACAGAACACAGAAGCAGAGGCCACAAAAAAGAGTGAAGGGTACAAAGTAGAAACCTGTTTGAGGTCTTGACGAGGGCGAGAGAGGCTCTCGTAGTTCTTGTACTGCTTCAATCGTGTCTCACGATACTTATCTCTGGTGTATAGAATTACCAAATTCAAAAGGAAAAAAACAGAGCTCAATTACCTCATCAAAGTCGTCCTCAAAGTATCAGGCAGTTACTTTCGACAGTTAACCCTACCGCCATTAAAAATACAAGTGGGTCCCTGCCCTGCCACCAATGCATCCAAATGAGATGGAGCCACCGGAAACAACCTACGGAGTCCACGTGGTAGGCTCACAGCGCGAGCTTCACAGCCTTGGCAGACCCAGCTGCCACCACGTGGCACTCGCAGCTGACGGGTCCCACTTACCATGGTTTTCCGCTACGCATACGTTAAAATTCGCTAATGACGTTAAAGAAAAAACGGGGTCGTTTTTGTTGCCCTGGTCTGGTTAGTTGAAGGATTTAGCGTACACCGCTTTCTTTTGTTAAAAGGTCGGTGTGGTCAGGGTCCCACTGCCACTACAGTCACGCGGGCCCACCATGGAGATTTTGGTTTGGATGAGGTTGTCGGTAATCTCTAATCACTAACCACTAATCAGTGTGCTTTGCTTAATATTGCTTCCAAAATCAATGGGTCGTTTTTAACCCTTTTGGTTTCAGGCACAACTCCTTCCCCTAACCACCCCTTTTATCATATTTAATTTCGAAATTTAAAAGTCATTGAGATTTTTTTTATTTTATGTTTTTTCATTTTTGTTAAATTTTTATTTACATTTTACTCCTTAATTTGTTGAAGAGAATCATATTATATAAGACGTAGTGATACAAATTCAATTAAATGATAATCCACATTAAGTTTAAATTCTTTTTAGTTAAGTTTAGTATAAAAGACAGTCCCATTATATGTAGTGGCAGATCTAAAAATATTGTTCAAGGGTTGACGTATAAACAGTGGCGGATTCGGGATTCCTGGCCAAGGGGTTACAGTGTAAAAAAAAATTTTAAGAACAAAAATAACACTAAAAAATAAAAAGATAGTACTTTCATTCAAATCTCCAAAAATTAAGATACGAGTATTACACCTATTCGGCAATTAAAATAATATATTTATTAATTTTTATTGTACTAAAAAGACCTACAAGTTATTAATAAAGACCTACAAGTTATTAATAAAAATTTGGGCCATACTAAAAGGACCTACAAGTTATTAATAAAACTTTGGGCCATACTTCTTTATCATTATACATGGCCCAAACTTTTTAAAAAACCTACAAGTTAGTGAAACGGTGAGTTTCAACTAAAATGAGGAATAAGCTAGGGCAACTTCATGACATCATCTTCTTCACTGCCTCTGCAACACAAAAAAAATCCAAGTCGTGGTGTGCTGCAAGAGTGCGTTTGGAAGAAGGTTAGAGAGCACTGAGCAGCACAGGGCAAGCCCACATGGGACTTTCATCGAGCATCTTACGTGCACACAAGGGGTCGCTAAGATGATGGCCAAGGGGTTGCTGGTGGAGTCCACGGCCAGATTTCCGGCTTTCCAAGGGGTTGTGCGACCCTTCTTATCCCAACGTGTGTCCGCCACTACGTATAAAGTATTTTGAATTGTGTTTGTATTTGTATTTGTGTATGTCACTCGATTAATTAGCTCTATTTTCAGTCATGTAATGAGGTTAGCTGCATATTATATATATAGTTATTCTCTCATCCGAATGTCCACATGTTGTTATTGTACGAATACTATAATAAAATACATGCGGACATTAATTACCAACACAACCCATTGGATATTTATTTAAAGTTAGTATTCTTCCACTCTCTCTCCTCTTGAAGGGTGTAGAAAATCGATGAGAGAATAATCCACGGAAATCTATCTAGGAATGAGTATTAGCAGAGTCTAGATTAAAAGCACACCAAGAGGCTCTCTCTCAAACTTCAAGGATATATAGATAGAAAAAGGTAAAATCATAGGTAACAGATTAATATCAAACAATTCAGATATTGGAGGAAATTAACAACTTATAAACATATCATCAATGTAATTCTTCTGAGCGAAAAAGAATTCCAACAATTCTTGTCCAAAATAAGAAAGCAACTTTTTACCCGTAAGGCTATTCAGCAAGAAAAGAGTAACATTTTTATAAGTGCATGTGTGTGGGCATGATATAGATCAATTTTGTATGATAGATGTATGATCAAATATAGTTTGACATTTTTGTGTGATAGATGTACACCTACTGACCGGCATTGCGACATTATTTACTCAACTCTCTATTTTTAACAATCATGTTCTTTGTAACATATAATCCATAATAATATTATCTAGATCAAAACAAAATCCAATTAAGTCTACACAGCAGACCAATAAGTTGAAATAAAAAAGTAACTCAAATTTGAAGGACAACCACCTGCATATAGATGTCCTAAGTAGAGAGGGCATCTGGTGAGGTAGAACATATGTATAGGCGATTAAGAAAAGAACCTTATACTACCAGAGCATGCATGGTGGATTTTTAATATTATTACAATATAAAACGGAAAATTGATTAGAAATGTCTTGTGTTTCACTCAAACACAGACACTGTGATTTTTTTTTTAAAATTGTTTTTCCTCGTTTTTATTTATTGATAAGAGTAGTTTAGAGCATTATTCATTACTATTAGGCCATTACCCGAGTCTTTATTGCCCCCTTTTGAGTACTTACTTTTTCAGAGTTATTACATGTATAAAGAATTTAGCATTTTCACTTTTAATACTCGTATTGTACACGTACACACATATTTTTCATGTTTAAGCTAAACCTTTCCACTTGTGGTATACAAGAATTAGAGAATCTCAAGAATTTAACTAAATTGGCGTTGGATACAAACCAATTGTCTGGTTATTTATTTATTTATTTTTGGTCGGAAGTGAATTTCATTAAAAACTCACAAAAGGGCAAAACAATACACCAAAATGTGAGACCCAACCAACTGAATTCAACAACAAAGCGAAAAGGCTAGAGGCCCAAATAAAATGTGAAAGAACCAGCAACAAGTTAAAAGCCCATAAGGCATTAAGCCCACACAAACCAATTGTCTAGTTATTTGCCCCCAAATATCTGCCAAGGTGAAAAGCTCACAAACTTGTCAATACAAACAAACTATTTGATTGGTCCAATCCCCAAAAGCTTGAAAAATTGCATGGGCTTAGTGATAGTCCATCTTGACCGAAACCAATTGACGGGTAATATATCTGAAGATTTCAGTCTTTATCCGAATCTTGATTTTATGAATATAAGCCACAACAACTTGTATGGAGAAATCGCAAACAACACGTTATCTAGAAATTTTGATTCTTTTTCTTTTGTCTTTGTTCCCAGATTGTGTAATATTGTGATTGATAGACTTGCTAAGTTTGTTTTAGGTAGTGTGTCCATAGATGTTTGGCTTGAAGAGGCATGGCTCAATGTGTTTCTTCAAGCTGGTGCTGATATTCTAGAGTTGTCATGAATTTTTTTTGTAGCTTTTATGGAGCATGTGTCACTCTTTTTCATTCGTCCCAGGTTTTGTCTTGTTGGGTTTTCTTGGGCAAGGTTTTAATGAGGCCACGTTTGTTCGCTCGAGTTTGTAACCTTTCATAATTTTAATGAAAATTTACTACTTCCTAAAATAAAAAAAAGACATTTTTTGGTATTTTGAATGTTTCACCATTTTCTGCCTTTTACTTAGATAAATGATATCAATTTAAACTTCAATGTAAAAAATTTAAAATCTAAGGCTAAGGCAACATTCACTTCTAATGAAAAATTCGAAATCTTAAGAAGTGGAATTTCACATGTTCCAATGTTATCTTGAGAAACCTAAAAGATATCCAAATGTTTTTCGAAAATATTAATATATATTAAAAAGAAAAACAATTGGGCCACCCGGAGACAAATGTGCCTGAGTCGGTTAAATACCACCTGGGAACTTTTGTTTTTTGTTTTTTTTTTTATCGAGAAAGGATTGAATAAGAAAACCCAAAACAGTAATACAAAACTAAAGTCGCAAGCAAAAAAGCAAAGGGGATAGAGCCACACGCCAGCAGGAGAATTAAGGAGGACCAGGAACTTGAAATGCCAATTTCGGATCTTCTAGACCAACGAATCTCCCCACCCACAAAACAAGAAGCAGGGGAGGTGGTCTCTCTTTTGAACATCACGTTTGCATCCTTGAATTCCAGTCCGCAGTCTCGTCCAACAATGAAGAAAGTTTCTAAGCTCCTCTCATCAACTCAGAGGCTGCATTTGTCAAAGCCATTACATATGACAACATGTGGTGAATTGCTTGCTCTTGATGGTTTCACTGCCTGATCAGGACATGCGCTGCTTTTCATTTGAGTCTGCCTTGTTCTAATTCTTCTTAGATGTTTGGATTATTGTAATCTATTTCATGCCCACTTCTGTTTTTCGTAATATATGTATGTTTTGCCACCTAAAAGAAGAATATGTTGCTATTAGACCAACCCTGTCAAGCATTCAGTTAAAACTTCACTCGCAGTGCTCTGTTTTAATGTAAAGAACAGTAATTCCTCAACAAAAAAATAAAATAGTGAACGTACACTCAATATCATAACTTAGAGGACAATTAATCAACCTTTTGGACTTGAAGATGACCAGCCGAACAAATGGAATAGGGAGTTGGAATAAATTGTACACCGAAAACATATCAAGCAAGAACATTTTGCTGGATTCTATATGAGGCATGGGTTTCAGTCTCTGGAGCCTGGACTCAACTAATTGGGTCGCCACTGCAGTAACATATGGATAGCTAGCTTTGGCATCAAGAAGCAGGGGAAGTCTTCTCTCTTGTTGTGACGATAATACGTTGGCATGAATGTCAATCCACAATCTCGTCAAACATGTTTCTCAGCATGGGTTTTTATTACAGGTACTCTGTTTTAAAAGTTCTTATTTTAGTCCTTGAATGTTCAAATCAATCAATAGGTCCTTTATATTTTGGTCTCACATCAATTTGGTTTTGTTGTCGCATTCCAACAAAACTTTGTTAAAACTGGTCACGTATCATCACCTGACCAACTTATTTCATCAAAATATAACTAAACTAATTTAGTCCTAGAACTCAAATTTTTGCTCAACAAAATCATCTGCTTTCCATTCAAGGTTTCACATTTAGGTTTCATCAAGGAGAGTACACAGCCTTGTTGAGCAACATATGTAATTTTTTTTCCTTTGTTTTTCAAAGTTTCAATTTCTTCATCCAAACAGAGGGTTAAAGATCACATTGATTGATTGGAAAGTTTGAGAATTCAAATGAGGACTTTTGAAAAATTCAAGGACCATTCATGACAAAAACCATTCTCAGTATCTTTCAATTCGAAGAGGCAGCATTTGTTGAAGCTTGTTACCTGCCTACGATATACCATGTGACATAGTGTCAAGCATTTAGGTGGGACACTTCTGAACCCCTATGTCACGCAAATAGTAACTTCTCACTTTCCATCAATTTCATTTCAGTAATTCCAATATATTTTTCTCCCAAAAACATCAAAGTCGAGGAACCATTGATCAGAGAAAAGTCTATGAGAAAGCTATGCATACTAAAAAACAAACATAATCGAATTAGTTTTCCAGTCATGTGCATTGACTTGAATGGCTCCTTTAATAAGTTATCTTGTCAATTCTTAGTTAAAACCGATGAACACGCTCATTTTAAAGCCTATCAAACTCTCAGTAGCAGCCAAGTCAAGTGATAAAGAAAATGAATATATAGGTTTCAAGTGCAGCCACTAGACTCATGGGTTGTAATAATAGGAAGAAGAAAACGGCATTCAAGTATCAACCTCATTTCACTAAAGTTAAGCAAACTTTCCAATTTTAACATTAAAGATGACAAACAAAGACTTTGACTGAAGATGTGTATGTTTCTTTCCTATTTTTCAATGTGTCAGGGTTCTAATATTTTCTTGTTAGAGAAATTTTATTGAGACCCAACAATCCAAATAAGAAAAAAATATAAAATGAACAAAGCTATAAAAATAAAATAAACAAAAACACCACAGATAGAGCAATAGCCTCAACCCCCGGCTAAACTGTTGAAATCTGTGTAAATTTGTACCTAACTTTCATTTTATTTAATTATTTTTTCAATTAGAAAATTAAGGATACAAATTTTTTTAAGCCAATCTCCTCTTATCGTTAACTGTCCTAAAGTTTCATCATTTTAAAATGACTGAGCCCAGCCCTCGAAAAGCTGAGTAGAACTTGAATACGTTCAAAGATATGGTAACTCCATATCTATGCATAATATTACTCGAATATACCCACACATAAAAAAAAAAAAAATCCTTGTTTTTCTCTCTGTGATTTGTCAGAGTTGAGTGTGATCTAGGGTTTATAATCCAGCTGGGTAGTTTGGAGAGTGGGAAACAGTATTCTGAAAAACAAAGAATATATTCTCTATTTATGTTATAATTCTTTTTTGTTGTGTATACAGTATATGTTTGATCTTATTTTATTTTTCAGTTTTTAATTGTTTATAAGGTACAAATTGACCAATTTGCCCTCATAGTGCCCACATGGTATCTTTTAACGATAAAATGGACCTTGACTTGCAACTAGCTGCTGGAAGAGAAGCTTGGCTCTACAGTCTGCACACAACTTAATCAAGAAAACCACACGCAGGTTCTCACACAACTTAATCAAGAGCACAAGGAACAGGCTCTCATGTAGTCATACCATGTGACATAGTGCAGTGGCAAGCATACATGTGGGACACTTTTGAACCCCTATATCACGCAAATAGTAACCTCTCACTTTCCATCAATTTCATTTCAGTAATTCCAATATATTTTTCTCCCAAAAACATCAAAGTCGTGGAACCCTTGATCAGAGAAAAGTCTATGAGAAAGCTGTGCATACTAAAAAACAAACATAATCAAATTAGTTTTCCAAGTCATGTGCATTGAGTCAAAGAAAAGTCTTAGCTAAAACCGATGACCATGCTCATTTTAAGGCCTCTCAAACTCTTAGTAGCAGCCAAGTCAAGTGAAAAAGACAACGAATATTATAGGTTTCTATTTAAATCATGCAAATCTCCAAGTTCAACCAAACAAACATGTTTTGCACATTAATGTCTTAATTATTTATGACAAATAAAATTGTAGAAAACAAATTTAACCTCAATTACGTCGTCTTGGACAGCCTCTCTATATGAAATTTTATTAATAGGATTAAACTTGAATTTAAATGTGTTTTTTTAAAAAAAATTATTGTTGGGTGAACTTGATTATTTACATGGTTTTAAAACATCTATAAATAGAAATCGAGACCAATATAACCAAATGAAGTTGACTAAATTATCGGTATTGGCATCGGAGGAGCACAATAATCAAATGAATTTATCCAATAAAAGACAAAACAAACCATGAATTACGCATTCCTATTCCTATGTACAGTAAATCAAATCAATAAATAGCTGAGATCCGAAAGACTTTATTTATTTATTTTTATTTTATATAAATAGCTCTGCTCGTGTTTGGTGAGAGATTAAAGAGGGAAAAAAGAAGAAGTTGAAAATGGACCATTAATGCTGCTAAAGAGTAAAGCCACGTGAGTTTGATTTCTGAGTCGCCTAAGGCAACTGATTAACGACAAAACAAACCATCAACAACGCTCTCACTGCCATCCATTTTATTTCATTAATTCAGTCAGCAAATGCAAAATTGACATTTAATTATAACTATAAATAACGAGAGACAAAGACTTTGACTCCAGCCATTGTAACAACAACTACTGAGATAACTTATTCAAGAGCACAAGGAACACGCCTTTTGCACGCAATTTGTATCTAAATTTCATTCAATCTGTTAGCTTCTTTATTACAATTCTAACAATAGCAGCAAGCTCACTCAATAGTAAAAAAGACTTGGCCTGATTTTGAGGATAGGGAGATTTGAAGTAAACAAATAAATCTTTTTCAAGCATATGGTTATCTCTCACCTCCATCAATTTCATTTCATTATTTCATACAGAAAATACAAAATTGGCATTTAAATTTAGAGAATGAAAGACTGAGACCTTTACTCAAAAGAAAACTGATTATAGATGAGATCCGAAAGACTTTTCAATGCTCAACTGAACCCCAAAGACTAACCCACACTATATATAACTAGTAAGGCACAACCCATACAATATACGTATACCACACAAACAATAACCATGACATCTTTAACTTCTGCTAAACTACGCTTCCTGCCTTATTGCCTCGTCATCTTCTTGTATGTTTCATCACCAAATTGGGTTGCTTTTCCTGCTGCTACTTCTACTTCTGATACTGAAGCAAAGGCTCTTATCAAATGGAAAGCCAGCTTATTTCTAAATCAAGCCCTCAATAACCTCACCTGGTACGACCCTCCCACTCATCATATTAATGCCACCAATTCTTCCAGCAGCAATCCAAAACCAAAAACAAGCCCATGCACTTGGACTGGTGTTTCATGCAACTCAGCTGGAAGTGTCAGCAAGCTAAACCTTTCCACTTGCGGTATTCAAGGTACGCTACATGAGTTTTCATTCTTGTCCTTCCCTAATCTTGAATATCTTAACCTCAGCTTGAACAAACTCTTTGATGCCATCCCACCTCAAATAAGTAACCTCTCCAAACTCCACCATCTTGATCTCTCCGAAAATCAATTCTCTAGGAGAATCCCACCAGAAATCGGTCTCCTAAGAAATCTTACCTATCTCTATCTCTATAATAATAAACTTTCTGGTTTGATTCCCAAGGAGATAGGGAACTTGAAATCTCTTGTAGATCTAGAGTTGGCTTACAACAATTTAACTAGTCTCATCCCTCCAAATATTGGTAACTTAGTAAAGCTAAATACTTTGTACTTGCATTCCAATCAACTTTCTGGTTTGATTCCCAAGGAGATAGGGAACTTGAAATCTCTTGTAGATCTACAGTTGTCCTACAACAATTTAAGTGGTCTCATCCCTCCAAATATTGGTAACTTAATAAACCTAGACATTTTGTACTTGAATAACAATCAACTTTCTGGTTTGATTCCCAAGGAGATAGGGAACTTGAAATCTCTTGTAGATCTAGAGTTGTCCTACAACAATTTAAGTGGTCTCATCCCTGCAAATATTGGTAACTTAATAAACCTAACCACTTTGTACTTGCATTCCAATCAACTTTCTGGTTTGATTCCCAAGGAGATAGGGAACTTGAAATCTCTTGTAGATCTAGAGTTGTGCGAAAACAATTTAAGTGGTCTCATCCCTCCAAATATTGGTAACTTAATAAACCTAAGATTTTTGTCCTTGCATTCCAATCATCTTTCTGGTTTGATTCCTAAGGAGATAGGAAACTTGAAATCTCTTGTAGTTCTAGGGTTGGCCAACAACAATTTAAGTGGTTTCATCCCTCCAAATATTGGTAACTTAATAAAGCTAAACCTTTTGTACTTGAGTTCCAATCAACTTTCTGGTTTGATTCCCAAGGAGATAGGGAACTTGAAATCTCTTCAAGATCTAAGGTTGCAGCACAACAATTTAAGTGGTCTCATCCCACCTGAGATTGGCTATGCAACCCAAATTCATTTGTTGGACCTTTCTTCAAATCATTTAGTTGGGTTGATCCCAAAAGAATTCGGGAAGTTGTCTTCGTTGGTGAAGTTGAAGTTGAATGGAAATCAACTTTCGGGTGATATACCGTCGGAATTCAGATCATTGAATGATCTTGAATATCTTGACTTGTCAACAAATAAATTCAGTGACTCAATTCCGAGCATTCTAGGTGACTTGCTCAAATTATTTCATCTGAATTTGAGCAACAACAAGTTATCTCAAGCAATTCCATTTGAGTTGGGGAAGTTAGTTCAATTGAATGACTTGGATTTAAGTCATAACTCACTTGAAGGTAGCATACCACCAGCAATGAGCAATATGAAGAGTTTGGTGACACTCAATCTTTCCCACAACAATCTTTCGGGTTCCATACCATCAAGTTTCGAAGACCTGGGCGGCTTGTCGTACGTTGACATATCCTACAATCACTTGGAAGGTCCCCTTCCCAACATCAGTGCATTTCGAGAAGCTCCGCTAGAAAGATTGAAAGAGAACAAAGGATTGTGTAGCAAAGTTGGAGCTCTACTGCCACCCTGCAATGCACATGGCTCAAAAAAGGACCACAAGGTCATATTCTCTCTCCTAGCAGTATTTGTACTTCTATCTACTCTATTTACAATTGTCTTTATAATAGTGCAAAGAAAGAAGAATACTAAACAAACCCACATGCATGGAGAAATTTCCTTTTCGGTTTTAAATTTTGATGGAAAATCAATGTATGAGGAAATCATAAGGGCAACAGAAGATTTTGATTCCACATATTGCATTGGGAAGGGAGGACATGGAAGCGTCTATAGAGTGAATTTGTCATCTGGAGACGTAGTGGCCGTGAAGAAACTCCATCTGCAATGGGATGGCGAGACAGAATTTCAGAAAGAGTTCTTGAATGAAGTAAGGGCACTCAGTGAGATAAGACATCGGAATATTGTGAAGCTCTATGGTTTCTGCGCACATAAACGACACTCGTTTTTGGTGTATGAGTATCTTGAAAGAGGTAGCTTGGCCGCAATGTTGAGCAAAGATGAAGAAGCTAAAGAGTTGGGGTGGAGTAAAAGGGTGAATATTGTTAAAGGCTTAGCTCATGCCTTGTCTTACATGCACCACGATTGCTTGCCACCAATTGTACATCGTGACATCTCAAGCAAGAACATTTTGTTGGATTCTGAATATAAGGCATGTGTTTCAGACTTTGGCACTGCTAAGTTTTTAAATCCAGACTCAACTAATTGGACTGCCGCTGCAGGCACATATGGCTACATGGCACCAGGTAATATTGTGATTCCATGTGCTCTATATTTAGCACTTTTTGGGCTTTTGCTTTTAGACCAATGCTTCATTTTCATCATTACGAGCGGTTAACATAAACACATTTTCAGTTCTTTGATTTAGAAAGTATGACTATAAACTAATAATTCGATTTATGCATGATACAGTTTCGTTAAAATTCCTTTGAAGAGTTATGTCTATATACTAATAATGACAATTCTATGAGGTTTTCTCTGAGCAGAGCTTGCTTACACAATGGAAGTGAATGAGAACTGCGATGTTTACAGCTTTGGTGTGGTCACATTTGAAATAGTTATGGGAAAGCATCCAGGAGATCTTTTCTCATCTTTCTCATCAGTCTCTTCATCCTCCTCCTCATCATCTGCATTACCAGCACATCAAATACCAATTGTAGATGTTTTGGACCAACGCATTTCTCCTCCTGCGCATCGAGTTGCAAGCGAAGTGGTCTCTCTTGTGAAGATAGCATTTTCATGCTTGAATTCCAGTCCGAAATCTCGTCCAACAATGAAACAAGTTTCTCAACTTCTCTCAACTCAGAGGATGCATTTGTCAAAGCCATTATGTATGATAACATGTGGTGAATTGCTTGCTCTTGATCCTTTGGCTACCTGATCAGAATATGCTTCTTTCTTATGCACATTTCACTTTTCCTGTGTCTTCTGTTTAGAAAGATTCTCCATGGATGTTTCCTTCTTGTAATTTATTTCATGCACGTGCGCACTATGCTATGGCTCTATGAATACTTTATTTAGGATATTTTACAGTTTATTTATCCTTAACATAAAATACTAATTGGAGAATTTTCCTTACAGTCTGTTTATCATTGTGAGGAAAAACAAAATGAAATAAAACAAGGTTTTGTTTAGTAATTTTATATACTCTGTGTAAACCGCCCCAAAATCAATAATAAACAATTAAATTGTGAAAATTAAATGACCGAGACCAATATAACCGGAACAAATATAGTATTTGACGTGGCGATAATTTTATATACTCAGGGCCATACTATATTACTATATTACTATATATACCCAGGGCCATATATAATATAGAAACAGAGGTTCATAGACCAGAGCCATTTTCGTTTTCGATTATCTTACAGAGAAAGAGAGAGAGAGAGAGAGCTATAGTGACAATGTCTTGTCGACCCTTAGAGTTCCTCAACAATCCGAAGACACTGAGCAGTTCAAAAAGGCCTTCAAAGGTTCCTTCTTTATTATTTTTCTGATCTTTTACTCCCTCGCATCATTTCTTGTTCTGATCATAAACCAACCCATATTTTGTAATTGGCTTTATGATTGATGATTGATCAATCCCATTTCACCGATCGGATTGTTAGTGTTAGATACAACGTAAATGATCTGATAATGTAAAAAGGATCCTTTTTGTTTTTGTTTTCATTTCGTTCTGCTAATTCTCTTTTGACTCTCTCTGTCATCATTGATCAGATGCATCAGATTTGTGTTTTGTGTACATGAGGTTTGGTGGGCTGATGAAAGGCCCATATGAATGTGATTGCTTGCTTTTGTAAAACGGTGATGCTTTCGCTCTGCACCAAAGCTCTGTTTGTATCAGAAGAAAATAATGCATTTGGGATAATTTATCTAAAAATAAAAAACAATGATCGGTACGTATAGATTTATAGGAGGTTTGTAAAGGACCTGATTTGACATGAAATTGGTATTTTGACATGAAAAAATAATTATAGAAAACAGCTAAAATAGTTTAGACCAGAGTTTTTCTTTAGGGCTTGTCCAATATAGGTCCCTACAATTTCTATTTCCTAGACATATACCTATCATTCTATAAATCTATGTGTAAAACCCAATTTCAAACTTAAATGACCAGTAGGATATAAGAGGTCGTAGCATTCCTATGTTTTTACATCCTTGCCATCATACTTCATATTTTATTTATAATTTATTCCAAGCATTTCATTAACTGCCATAATTGTAATTAAAACTCCCTATTAATAGCATATCAATCACCCCATTTCTTTTGGTTGCCATTCCCTCTAACATATGGCCCCTTAAAATTGCAAAAAAAAAAAAAATATAAATTACATATCCAATAATGTACATATGAAAAATATAAATATAAATATATACGTATAAAAATATAGGTATATTATTTACCAAAAAAATTAACAAAAATAGGTCAATTACTTTGTAATTGAAATTTCCGTACATTTTTCATAAACTAAAAATAAGTATACAATAATTTATAAAAAATAGGTACGTTGTATAATTGAAATTTATGCACATTTTTTATAAATTAAAAATAGGTACATTATTTTGAGAAAAAAAAATAGGTACATTATTTAGAAAAAAAATTTGAGAGAAAAGATAGGCTCATTTTTAAAAAAAAATTGTTTTCATAAAACAAACAATAAAAAGATGATCAAATTATTTTTCATAAAACAAGTAATAAAGAAAAAAAAAAGGTACAATATTTGGAGTAAAAATAGGTTCATTAAAAAAAATGTTTTAAAAACAAAACAATAAATAGATTATCAAATTATTTTTCAACATAATTAGAATGTACACTATTATTCATAAAACTATAATAAAAAAGACTACTGATCGTATAATTCATAAAAAGAAATCAACATCAATTCCTAAATTTAATATTGAATTTAAATGATTAATACTTTGAATAGATTACTAATTGTAATTCATAGAAGGAAAACACCATTAATTCAAAAATAGATTACTAGTCGTAAAATAGATTACTAATACTTTAATGTGGAATTTAATATTTAATTTCAAATAAGTTTCTAAATTAGTTCCTACAACTATTTGGAGATATTTCCAAATCCAACGGGTGTCATTAGTTACACCCCATAACACATTAACTTATAAATAGGGGTAGTTTTGGAATCCAAAAAATACAATAAATCAGATTTTAAGTTATATTAGGTAACTTGCTTGGTTGGATCCTAGTCATCGAGTATTATTTGAAAATTTTGGGTATTTTAAATAGAAAACTAAAGGAAAGGGTTGTAGGTGATTTAAAATGAATTTTATGGGTCTAAGCTTAATTTACTATTTTCTTTATTTCTTTTATGTGTGTGTGCTGTGACTTTTCATGATTGGGGTGTTTGGTTTCATGTAATCTTGAATTTTTATTAATACAATTGCAGGATGGGGAACCAATGAGTGAAATACATATTTTAGGAAAATACATATTTTAAAAGGGTATAAACCAATGAGCTATAAAGGGAATCTTATATCCAGCAGCAAGGCACAAAATTCAAAAGGGTATAAACTTTATACACACAGCATGCCTTCAATAAGTGACAAAAATAGCTAGGATATTATGATGAGCAATGCCCTTGAATAATCGAATGAATGCATGCAAATATGAATATCAATAGTAGTTTTAAGAACTTGATGTATCCAAATGATTGCTAAATGAATATTAAGATGAAAAATATGCAAATATTGCACCATTACACATGGATGAAGTTTTGAAAAAATAAAAACAGGGAAGTGAAGGTTTATATGAACTCAACATCAAAATATTCCTACGTCTTCAAATAAAGTCACAAACCAATTTTCTTTGAAAACATTTCAAATAGTATATAGAAGAAAGCACAAAATCTCTACCTGGAAATGGACAATTGTAGACTTGACAATCCTTGTATTGTAGTGAAAGTCATAGAAGGTCTTCCCCATCTCTACTTGCAAGCACTCCTGTCAACATAGTATGTTCAGCAACGAGAAGATTCACAAAACTTACAACAAAAACAAAATCTAGCCGCTATAATGGGTAAAATAATTTCGCTTCACAAAGGACCAACATCAAAACATATGTAAAGATCAAGCCTTGAAGACCAACAAGGCATTTCTAAACCCGAAAAATACAGAACACAGAAGCAGAGGCCACAAAAAAGAGTGAAGGGTACAAAGTAGAAACCTTTTCGAGGTCTTGACGAGGGCGAGAGAGGCTCTCGTAGTTCTTGTACTGCTTCAATCGTGTCTCACGATACTTATCTCTGGTGAAGTTAAGCCTCTCCCATGGAATTCCCTGTATGTCTTTCCCATTTCTAGCTTCCATAGCTGAAGTATCAGTCTTCACCTTGCTCTGCTGCAAATTCACCAAATATCACTCCTTTGGTTGTTCAAATTGTATAGAATTACCAAATTCAACAGGAAAAAAACAGAGATCAATTAACTCATCAAAGTCGTCCTCAAAGTCTGAGTCGGCATCTTGGCTCCTACGGAGCTGGTTCTCAGCAAAAGCTTCGTTGTCTTCGAACTCAGTGACGTCGAAGTAGTCATCGACGACATACTCCAGCTCGTCATTCTGAAACTGCGCCATCAACCTTCACACAACACACAGAACCCAGAACCTCACACCATTAATCTTTCAGCTTTTAATTTCTCGATTTCAAATTGAACTTTCAGAATTACAAATTAAAACACCAATCCGATAACCAATGAACAATGGCTGTGTATATAGCTCAATTTATACAGCACGAAGCTAAAAATGAAAACAAAACCGAAGTAAATACATTGAATTGGGGGAGAAATCCAAGTCGTGGTGCTGCAAGAGTGCGTCTGGAAGAAGGTTAGAGAGCACTGACCAGCGCAAGGCAAGCCCACATGGGACTTTCATCGAGCATCTTACGTGCACACAAGGGGTCGCTAAGATGATGGCCAAGGGGTTGCTGGTGGAGTCCACGGCCAGATTTCCGGCTTTCCAAGGGGTTGTGCGACCCTTCTTATCCCAACGTGTGTCCGCCACTGCGTATAAAGTATTTTGAATTGTGTTTGTATTTGTATTTGTGCATGTCCCTCGATTAATTATTTTGAATTGTCTTTGTATTTGTATTTGTGTACAGTGTATGTCACTTGATTAATTAGCTCTATTTACAGTCATGTAATGAGGTTGGCTGCATACTACATATATAGTTATTCTCTCATCTGAATGTCACACGTTGTTATTGTTCGGATGCTATTATAAACAAAGAGAAAAGCAGGGAGATGTAATATAAAATACATGCGGACATTAATTACCAACACAACCCGTTGGATATTTATTTAAAGTTAGTATTCTCTCTCTCTCTTCTTGAAGGGTGTAGAAAATCGATGAGAGGGAAATCTATCTAGGAACGAGTATTAGCAGAGTCTAGATTAAAAGCACACCAAAAGGCTCTCTCTCAAACTTCAAGGATATATAGATAGAAAAAGGTAAAATCATAGGTAACAGATTAATATCAAACAATTCAGATATTGGAGGAAATTAACAATGAAGTGCTTATAAACATATCATCAATGTAATTCTTCTGAGCGAAAAAGAATTCCAACAATTCCTGTCCAAAATAAGAAAGCAACTTTTTACCCGTAAGGCTATTCAGCAAGAAAAGAGTAACATTTTTATCAGTGCATGTGTGTGGGCATGATATAGATCAATTTTGTGTGATAGATGTATAATCAAATATAGTTTGACATTTATGGGACAATCTATGCTTTCATTGGACGGGTGGTTAAAGTTTGACATTTATCAACACCTGCCCCTTGTTCTAGGTTTCTTCACTTCAAGTGCACCTATTGACCGGCACTGCGACATTATTTACTCAATTCTCTATTTTTAACAATCATGTTCTTTGTAACATATAATCCATAATAATATTATCTAGATCAAAACAAAATCCAATTAAGTCTACACAGCAGACCAATAAGTTGAAATAAAAAAGTAACTCAAATTTGAAGGACAACCACCTGCATATAGATGTCCTAAGTAGAGAGGGCATCTGGTGAGGTAGAACATATGTATAGGCGATTAAGAAAAGAACCTTATACTACCTGAGCATGCATGGTGGATTTTTAATATTATTACAATATAAAACGGAAAATTGATTAGAAATGTCTTGTGTTTCACCCAAACATAGACACTGTGATTTTTTTTTTAAAAAAAATTGTTTTTCCTCGATTTTTTTTTTTAATGGATAAGAGTAGTTTAGAGCATTATTCATTACTATTAGGCCATTACCCGAGTCTCTATTGTCCCCTTTTGAGTATTTACTTTTTCAGAGTTATTACCTGTATAAATAATTTAGCATTTTCACTTTTAATACTCGTATTGTACACGTACACACATATTTTTCATGTTTAAGCTAAACCTTTCCACTTGTGGTATACAAGAATTAGAGAATCTCAAGAATTTAACTAAATTGGCGTTGGAAACAAACCAATTGTCTGGTTATTTATTTATTTTTGGTCGGAAGTGGATTTCATTAAAAACTCACAAAAGGGCATAACAATACACCAAAATGTGAGACCCAACCAACTGAATTCAACAACAAAGCGAAAAGGCTAGAGGCCCAAATAAAATGCAAAAGAACCAGCAACAAGTTAAAAGCCCATAAGGCATTAAGCCCACACAAACCAATTGTCTAGTTATTTGCCCCCAAATATCTGCCAAGGTGAAAAGCTCACAAACTTGTCAATACAAACAAACTATTTGATTGGTCCAATCCCCAAAAGCTTGAAAAATTGCATGGGCTTAGTGATAGTCCATCTTGACCGAAACCAATTGACGGGTAATATATCTGAAGATTTCAGTCTTTATCCGAATCTTGATTTTATGAATATAAGCCACAACAACTTGTAT